TACCTGGTTTTTGACTGTGTTGACCAAATTCTAAATGCCCAGAAGTTTGCTGCGTTAAATCGTCAGACTGCTGAGTCAAATCTTCAAATCGTTGGTTATGACTACCTGGTTTCTGATTTTGCTGACCAAATTCTAAATGCCCAGAAGTTTGCTGCGTTAAATCGTCAGACTGTTGGGTTAGATCTTCAAATCGCTGGTTATGACTACCTGGTTTCTGATTCTGTTGACCAAATTCTATTTGTCCAGATGTTTGTTGGGTCAAATCTTCAAAGCGCTGCTTATGACTACCTGGTTTGTGATTTTGCTGACCAAATTCTATGTGTCCTGCAGTTTGTTGAGTCAAATCATCAGTCTGCTGAGTCAAGTCTTTAAAGCGCTGGTTGCGACTAGCTGGTTTTTGATTTTGTTGACCAAATTCTACATGTCTAAAAGTCTGCTGCGTTGAATCATCAAATCCTTCTATCTGTTTTATGAGATATTTAATCTCTTTCGTCAATTCTTCATGGTTCAATCTTTGACTATTTTGTTTCTGATTATGTTGACTAAATTCTATATGTCCAGAAGTTTGTTGCTTTAATAAATCAGATAAGCCTAACTCTTTCAGTAGATCTTCAATCTGTTCAGCGTAATATTCAGAGTACTTGTCATCAGTATTTGGTTTCTGATTTTTTTGACCAAATTCTATGTGTCCAGATGTTTGTTGCGTTAAATCATCAAATACACCTAACTGTTGTGCTAGATCATTAATCTGTTGAGTCAAATCTTCATAGTACTGGTTATGACTTTTTGGTTTCTGACTTAATTGATCAAATCCTATATGTCCAGTAGTTTGTTGGGTCAAATCATCAAAGTTTTGTGCTATTATGTCTTCTAAATTTAGGATGTGTCTTTTCTTCCTTTTGTTGTTTTGTGTTTGTTCTATCATGTCTTTAGTGTTTTTCTTTAAATCTTTATTAGGTAGTCTTAGTGATTTAATTTCATGATCACTATTTGGCAGTTTCTCTTTATCATAATCTTTTAAATCTTTACGAAATTTTTCATAATTCTGTCTGTTCCGAATTTTGCTAAAACCATCATTACCAGCATTACGCTTATATTTCCTCATATATCTTTGCTCTATTTGAGCACAATCTTGCATTCCATGATTATGGCCTTGCGTGCTAGAAATCTGTTGTAAATTTCCAGTATAACCTGGATTATAATTATTATCTAATGTATGACCAATTTCCTTGTTATATGTACTAATTTTTTGATGTGAATAATATTGGTTTCTTTCATTTGGATTAACAATTTCTCTTCTTTGTCCTATAACATCCCAATTTTGATGCTGTAATATTCCATCTCTTATATGTGGATAATTTTCCATATTTTCATTTAACGTTCTGTGTTGTAAATTGTCTCTAGATCGATAATTCTGGGTTATTTGTGATTGATGAGTATCTAAATATTCTCTTTGATAATTTTCATTTATATTCCGTTGTAATCCAATCTGTTCATTTTCTCTATATCTTTGATAATTGTTATTTTCACTATTTAAAGTTGGAATATTACTGGGTAAAACATTTATATGTGATTGAGAAATATATGCTTCTTCTCTTTGATGTTGAACAGTTGGTCTATTTCTATTATATACATTGTTTTCATTTCTATATAATGTATCATCACCTGTATAAATTTGTCTATTTGACAATTGATTTTGATGTACATTATATATATTTCCATTAGTAGGAACATGCTCATTTTGATCTCTATGTCTATAATCAGCACTCTCAGCAACTTGTAGATCAATATTTCTAAAAGTAGGATTAACATTATCTTGAACTGTATTCATAGTATCTGTATGCAAAGTGTTACTCGATGTCACTTGTTTTAAACGAGATGATTGATGAATTTTTCTTTCCATATTTTCGAATTCTTGATTTACTTTTTCTATAGTACTATGTAAATCATCATTTATATTTGGAGTAATCTTATGTATAGGATTGAAACTTGTACTATATTGAGAAGTATAATTTTGATGATAATAACGAGTTGTTTTTGGACCGATAACATATTGTCCCTCTTCTTCTGATACACGACCATTTCCATCATCAGTTTTATATGTGTTTACTCGAGTCCAATTATCATTTCTTATTCCAATATGTTGATTTTGACCTTGTAACAACTCTGAATCACCAACGGATGTTCCATGTTGACTTATTTGTAATCTATCACTTAATTTTCCTAAATTTTCAAGTCTTTCAATATTACTTCCTCGTTCTCTGTACGTTTGTTGTAACTGGTCATTATGTAATTTATTATAATTATGTTCTTGTCTGTATGATTCTGAATTTCTTGATTCTTCATATATTCTTTGACTATTAGTAGTATCCAAAGCATTGTTTCTGTTTTGATTGATTAATCTTTCTGACTGTAATAAATCTGAATTACTTGGATAAATATTACTATACGAAGAAGTATAATTTTTCTTAAAATATCTTACACGTTTTGGACCTTCAACATATTGTCCTTGTTCTTCATAAACTTTACCATGGCCATTATCTACTTTATATTCATTTTGTTCAGTCCAATTACCAGGTCTGTCATAATTAAGATTCAAATGATTTACATTTCTTATATTTGAATCTGTATGATCATTACGATTACCAGATTCTTGATGAGTTCTATAAGAACTAACTTGTCGATAAGTAGTACAACTTTCTATGCAACCATTAGGCAGAGACAATGATTGTGTAAATAAAATGGATAAAATAATGATGCTTATCCTTTTTATTGCCATATTAGGCTAATCTGTGAAATAAACAAAAAATATCTTTCTGTTAAGTTTTATAATAAATTGTATATAATAATATAAATCAAATATATATATATATATGTATTAAATATCTTGAAGTAACAACAACTAAATTATAAATTACGTATGATTATATTTTTAATTTATAATTATTACAAAATGTATTCTATAATTTTTAAAATTAGCTATTAATTGAATTTTGATAGTTTATTATATTATTAATATAGTAAAATTTAATAATAAAAAAAATCATTTTTATTACCTTAAAATATACGATCAAGACACACTTTATTTCACTTGCTAATCTGAAGATGTTCTCACTAACATTGAAGAATTACATATAACAGAAGCAGATTGCAGCAATAGCATTTATGTCTGTTTCCCCTTCTTCATATCGGAATTTCAGATTTTTTTTTTTTTTTTTTTTTTTTTTATTCATTTTATACTTAATGCATTCACTTATCATTGAGAATTCGTGGTAAATGTATATCAACTTCTTCAAAATAATATTAATTAACACATTCCCCATTAATTATTTATTTACGACATTTCATTTTCGTATTGAATTATTTATTATTTTTTAATACATCAATATATATACCATGTTAAAAAAAAGTTATTCAATAAAAATTCAATTACATCCTCTAATTCTTTTTATAAAATTATATAAATATTAATATATAAATGTTATTTTAATTACGTAATAATTAAAACAGGATAAAAAGTAATAATAATTTCCAGGTATTTCCATATTTGGTGTGATGTGTCACACAGATTAAATCATCCTTTGTAATACCTTTACTATGTTACTTTCATTCATAAGATTGTCATGTAAAAATTTCAAGGTTACTCTTATGTATTGAAGAAATACTTATTACATTAAATATAAAATAGAAACAGACACATTATATAATTTTTTCAGTATTTAAACATTACAATAACTTGTGCATTATATTTAATTAATAATTACATTTATATATTAATTTCAAATAAATGAAATATATTGCTTATTTTTATGGTAGCAGCTTATTAACACAAATTTATTTGTCTTCCTGGAATATGAACTCTGATCTTTTATCATAATAATACTTCATGATGACCTCATTATTATGGGCGTCATTGGATTTTCTGGATTTTACCAATACTTTCTGAATATGTACTACATTGGTAATCAGTTAATGAAAATATTGATCACAAAATACAATAAATATATTTTAAAATACATATAATAAATGTCTATGTCAATTAAATAAACTACTCTATATATATATATATATATATATATATATATATAGAAATAAAATGTAAATCAAACAACAATTCATCAATCTAATAGAAACTTAAATACGCGTAGATTAAAATTAATGAGAAATATCAATTTCTAGAATAAATATCTATATCACTCTGATTATGAGTATTTTTTTTATCATGTAAATGGATCAAGGTCATACCAATTAATTACACATAACGTTTATACGTATGATATGGACATAGTAAATTAATAATAATAAAAAATTAATGTTAATGTATTCATTTCAGAAATCAAATTCTACTATACGATTTTTTAATCGAGGTGATTATTATACATTACATGGAAGCGATGCTTTATTTGCTGCTAAAGAAATTTTTAAAACAACATCTGTTTGTAAAATGCTCGGTTCTGGTAAGTTAAAATCCAATTTTTATTTTAATCTTATCAAAAATTACTATTAAGTATAAATTTAATTGACTTGTTACAGAACCTCATAAGACTGAAGGTGTTATATTAAATAAAAGTCATTTTGAGACATTTATACGTGATTTATTATTGGTAAAACAATACAGAGTAGAAGTTTACATCAATCAAGGATCAGCAAAGAATCAAAATTGGATATTAGAATATAAAGGATCACCTGGTAATCTATCACAATTTGAAGATATATTATTTGCTAATAATGATATTGCACTTGGAGTATCAGTAATTGCTATAAAATTAGGAACAGAAGGAAAATCCAAAGTAACTTGATATAACATCTGCATATAGAAATATGTTTATAATAATAATGTTTATTATATATTTTATAATTTCTGATATTATGTAGATTTTAGGATTAAGTCATCTTGATACGGTGGCTAATTCTTTCTCAGTTTGTGAATTCCAAGATAGTGAATCTTTCTCAAATTTAGAATCACTTATTGTTACACTCAATCCAAAAGAATGTCTATTAATCCAAGGAGATAGTAGTTATGAATTTGATACTTTGAAACAGGTTGGTTAATTATAGAAAATAATATTATTATATGTGTGTGAAATATTGTATAGAAGATTAGATTTATTTAATCATTGTTATCATATCATTATGTAGGTAATAGAAAGAAGTAATGTTTTAGTTACTTTAAGAAAAAAAAGTGAATTTTCTAATGATTCAGTTGTACAAGATTTAAATACATTGCTCAAATTTACAAAAGGTCAACAACAAAATGCACAATCCTTACCTGAAATTAATTTAAAATTAGCTATGTCAGCTACATCTGCATTAATTAAATATTTGGATGTAAGTATATTTCATATAATTGTAATTTTTAAGAGAGAAAAATATTATTGAGAAATAATATTTTTCAATTTTAATTTCAGTTGACATCTGATGAAGGAAATATTCATCAATTTAACATAGAACAAATAAAACAATCACGTTATTTAAAATTAGATACAGCAGCTATAAAGGCTCTTAATATTGAGCATCGTTCAAATGTATCTTCTAATTTCACTGGGAATGTACCTGATAGTATTTTAACTTTATTAGATAAATGCAAAACTCCGCAAGGTCATAGATTAATTGCACAATGGATTAGACAACCTCTTAAAGATTTGGCACTTATAAAAGAAAGACATGATATTGTAGAAGTATTAGTTAAAAACAATGAATTGAGATCTACTCTTAGCGAAGATCATCTAAGACGAATACCTGACTTACAACAATTAGCTAAAAAATTATCTAGAAAGAAAGCTAATCTTCAAGACTGTTATAAGTGTGTAACTAATGTTATATTTTACAATTTTTTATTTTATTATTTTAACTATATTTTTAAACTCATATATATTTACTTGCAGAATTTATATGAGTGTATCTCATTTGCCAAAACTGATAGAACAATTTTCTGATGTTTCTAATACAACTGCCTTAAAAGAATTAATTATAGATCCATTAAAAGAACTTATCAAGGATATGGACAAATTTCAACAAATGATTGAACAAACTATTGATTTAGAAGCAGCGGAAAAGGGAGATTTTTTAGTTCATCCTGATTTTGACGATGAATTAAAAGGTATCTAAATAGATAGCTTTTATACTCGTTTATTATTTAAGCGAATGAACATCAATCGTCATATTTTTTGTAAGTTTAATTTTATGTATATTGCATATTATAAATATTTAATCTTTCTAACAGAACTCAAAGGAGAAATGGATGAAATGGAAGAAAAAGTACAATCGCAGTTAAGTAAAGTAGCTGACGATTTGGGTGTAGAATCAGGAAAATCATTAAAATTGGAAACCAATCAACAGTTGGGCTATTACTTTCGAATAACGTTAAGAGAAGAAAAGATGCTAAGAAATAAAAAACATTATACTATATTAGACTCTAACAAGAATGGTGTAAGATTTAGAAATAATAAGTTAAATGAAATAAATGATGATTATATTGCTGCTAGAGAGAAGTATACAAATCAACAGAAAACTGTTGTCACTGAAATTATTGAAATTGCAGGTCAGTACATAATTATAAATTATAATAATATACGAAATTTATATATATTTTATTATATGTTAAATTTATATAGCTGGATATACCGCTCCGATTAAAAATATTGGAGACGTCATTGCCTGTCTTGATGTTTTCGTGGCATTTGCCTTAACTGCAGCAAATGCACATATAACATATATTCGTCCAGAAATGCTTTCTAGTGAGCATGGTGAATTTAATCTTGTTCAAGTGAGACACCCTTGTTTGGAAATACAAGAAGGCGTTGATTATATCTCTAATGATGTATATTTTAAAAAAGGTCAATATAATAAATCAATGAGATATTAAGTTTTCAACAAAATTATCTTTTATATTAGTTTTTAAATAATTTTAGATGAAGTTCATTGTCACATTATAACTGGTCCAAATATGGGTGGTAAAAGTACGTATATACGTTCTGCTGGTGTAACTGCATTAATGGCACATATTGGAAGTTTTGTTCCTTGTGAAAAAGCAACAATATCTTTATTGGATTGTATATTGGCAAGAATTGGAGCTGATGATTCACAATTAAAAGGACTTTCAACGTTTATGATGGAAATGATAGAAACAGCAGCTATTTTAAGGGTATATTAAACTAATGACGTGTTTAACAAGAAACAAATATTTCATGATTTTTTTCTGCAAATTATTCTTTTATATTATTTACAGACAGCAACATCTAATTCACTTGTGATCATTGATGAACTTGGTAGAGGTACATCAACATATGAAGGATGTGGTATCGCTTGGTCCATAGCAGAGTAAAATTCTTATTTTAAATTAATACTATCTTTTTTATAATAGAATAACTTTTTGAATTATATGATATATATATATATATTTTTTTTTAGGCATTTAGCAAAAGAAATTAAATGTTATTGCCTATTTGCAACGCATTTTCATGAGATTACAAGACTTTCTGAAGAAATACCAACAGTTAAAAATCAACACGTGACAGCTCTTGTACAAAATGATAAACTTACTTTGCTTTATAAAGTAAAGCCTGGTGTTTGCGATCAAAGTTTTGGTATTCATGTTGCTAAAATGGCTAATTTTCCGGATAACGTAATAGAGGTAATTTTAAGCAATAATACAGCTTATATGAAAAATTAGATAAATCAATTAATAATGGGTATTTATTACAGTTTGCTAAACGAAAACAAACAGAATTAGAAGATTATCAGGGAACAGTTTTTAAAGGATCTGATTGTCCAGAAAAAAAGCGAGAAATTATAAAGGTTTGAGAACTATAATTTTTATTGTGATTGGCTGAAATGATTATTATATTATCTACATAATAATATTCTTGTATAATTTCATTACAGGAAGCTGATGAATTGATAACTGAATTTCTCAATGAATGCAAAACACTAGATAAATCTTTGTCAAATGAACAATTAAGAGATAAAATCTTGGAATATAAAAAAAAGATTTGTTCTCATCAAAATCCATATATTGACGCATTATTGTCAGAAGTTTACTAATTTTTCTTTATTTTTAAATTTATTCAAAATATACATTACAGATATTTCAAATAAACTGTTGATCATCGACAGGATGTTACTGATAATGTATAAGATGCAGGCAGTATTAAATTACAGAAAATACTAACATATTAAGAAAATGTTATATTTTATGCACATTAAATAAAAAAAAAATATTTTTTTATTTAACAATTAGCAGTAAATTATTATTAACAATTAATAATTAAATAATATATTGAGATATTTATTTTTGTAAAATAACATTCGTTTTCAAATACTGTTAGTTTACAGATAGTATTTTGGGATTTTTCTGTTTATTGTAAACGTTAAGGCGGGTTTCCCTTGACCAGAGGACCGATCTGTGAAGGAGGAGAATGACCAATGGAAAAACTGGAGGTTTTTTCCGAAAAAAATTGTGCCAACATTGATCTTATTACAAATTTTCAATAATGATCATTTTTAAATAATTTGTAGGTAAATTACCACCCAAACATGTAGAAGGTTATCCTTTTTGGTTGACACGAGAAGAATTTGTACTGTTTGGATGTGATTTATTGGGATGATAAGACTGATAATGAATATATTTTTAAGGGGGTCATCCCATGTGATGGGCTCAAAAAATCGATTTTTTTTTTTTCATAAATTGCTTTCTTAACATGTCTAGAATACGGTAGTAAAGTGATTTTTGAAAATTCGAAGTCGTTTTAAAGATACAGCAGGTAGAAGAAAGAGCTGTTCGGAGCGCTGAGTTGGCAGTTGGGGTCCGGGCCTATTGTGTACCGTCGACTTTATACCTGGCCCCCCTTTTATACATATATACATTTATACAAGCTTAGACAAGTTTTTGCAGGCTTAAACAGAAATTTCTATTTGATTGGACTTTTGCTCCTAAGCATCTTCATTCTGGCCCCAAGATTGTTGAAATTGCTAGCTACTTATCAGTTATCATCTTTAATGAAGGTTTTGAAGGTGTTTTAAAAGTAATGTCGGTTATGGGATGCCCCATTGGCCGCAAAGCCCATACGTATGTTGAGAAACGTGATGAAAAGCGAATCTCACGTTCTGAGCGACGCGTAAGTGATGTCGTTAAACAAGCCAGGATTGACTCAAGAGCTGAACAATATGCTTTAAAAGAGTTCCAAGAGGAAGAGGAAGGAATACTCTATGGACTAGGCATCGCCAATTGAGGGTAAGTTGAGATTTTCATAGTTTTAAATGGACTTGAAACTTTAAACGCGTTTTTCTCAAACTGTGTTTTTCAAACTTTCCTCCATCGTATCTCAAAAACGGCTTGACCGAATGACTTGAAATTTATAGGGCACACTCAACATATGTAAACGCATGGAATGAAGTATTATCAATCGAAAATTTCCAAAATTTCGATTTTTTATAGCAAAAAACCAAAAAAACCGCAAAATTCGCAACTTTTATTTCAAATGTCTACCAAAAGTCCAATTTTTTGTATATTCATTTGATAATAGTCCATTCCGTGCATTTAGGCTTACAGATTAGAACGCCTGTTTTTTTTTCGTTTCAGATAAGCCAATCAGCCGGAATCGTGGAGGAAGTGCGAGCTCATTTTTTCGAGGCGGAGGTGTTCAGAATGCTGTAACTCAAGTTCTACACAATATTTTTAGCTTAAAATTTATATTCATACTGTCGAAATATATGTTAATAAATGATAATAAACTTAAAGATCTATCTATTTACTGGTCGTAGAAAAAAAATCCTAAAAAATCCCTAAAAAACAGGCCGTCACATGGGATGACCCCCTTAAATGAATATGTTGTAAAACATATAAACAAAAATTTATAGTATTAAAGTTATATTTACATCAGAATACAAAGCCATAATATTTATTACATGATATTTTACGAATTTTTTAAACATAACTCAAAAAAATAATTATGTTTATTATATTAGCATGTAGTAAATTTTTATGAAATTAATTCATAATTAACAGTGAATTATTTACTCAGGAAATTATATAACATTATATTTTCTTAATTTTTTGTATGATTTATAAACATGATATAATAAATAAATATTTTCTATTATTATTTTATATAATGATGAAAAACACTTCACATATTGTACCAATAAATAATCAGACATCAATTACATTATTTTGTCATGACAATAACGTTTTCGTAAATATATTGTACTACAAATTTTTAATATATATACAATTTTTTTTTATTTTTATTACAAGAAGAAATTCATGAATCAGTTAATAACAAATTTTTTAATATACAGATTAAAATGAAATTTTTAATATATAGTCTAAAATCTGATTTCTTATATATGAGATATATAATTTGCTATTGTAAGTTTAAAAACATTCAATAAAAAGACTGTAATATGAACAAAACCAATTTTGTGTTTTTTCTTTATTATTTTACGCAATGAATTTTTTAATGAGTTCTATTTTACACATTACAGATATTTTAAACATATATTCATGTCAATAATTTAATGCATTATATTATAAATTTAAACTATTTTCAGAAATGTAATTTAATAACAGTTTGTTTTTTAATATTTTATGAATAAAATTGTTTTTTAACAAAGAGCACAGCCGTTATATAACACAGTATTTTCATAATAGTATACGTAAAACTTGTAGTACATTATTATAAGAATACATCACTACAAAAGTGACTCAGAAAGTATTACATATTTTTTAGTTTTCAAATGAAATAAAAAAGACAATCCTACCTTAATTTTTAATTACTTATATATTTTTTTTTTTTTTTTATTTATACAAACTATATACAAAAAATTCTATCTCTCATGTTATGAATAATTTTTAATATGTATAATTATTAGTCTGTTATTTAAAACAAAGAATGCAGTGAAAATTGTATATATCTACTCAGAACATTTTGTTTATTACTATTATAACAATGTTAAAAAATGTTTGGAATATACAATATTCATCATACATTATGGTACAAAAAATCTAAATAATAATTCGCTAGATGTATTTAATTTTCTACTACATTCCTTGGATGTAAATCAATTGTGTTGAATGTCTATGAATTAGTTCCCATATTTTTACATTTGTCATATCTTATATAATTTTATATAAATATGTCGATTATGAATTGTTCGGTGAATAAAATGAAAATTATTTATTAGATGTAAATTGTAAGCAGTCTTAAATGAAGTTTCAACACAATTGATTTCTTATTATAAAATAATTTGTTATTTTTTGATAAACCAATTGAATTCTTAATTTAACAACACGAAGACTTTGCAGGCTCTGCTTCGACTAGATTAAAGTCCAAGCCACCAGGTCTTGCAAATCCAGTTTTAATACCATCCCAACCATCTTCTACTTTATATTCACCAGTCTGTATTCTATTATAAACTTCCTGAGTAACTGTTCGAAATGCTTCTTCAACATTGACTCCTGTTTTTGCACTAGTTTCTATATGATGTACACCATGTTGATCGGCAAAAGCCCTAGCTTCTTCTCTTGATACTTCTCTTCTGCCACCATTTGTTACCAGATCCAATTTACAACCTACTAATGCAAATACAGGACGATGCGGTTCAATGTGTCTACGTGCTTCCATCATCCATTGAGGAATATGTTCAAAGCTAGTTCTGTTGCATACATCATATACAAGTAGTGCTCCAACAGAATTTCTATAGTAAGATTTTGTTATAGACCTAAAGTCAAAAATAATGCAATTTTTGGAATGGTATTTTATGAAGAGATTTATGAGTAAAATAAAACAACAAAGACGTGGGAAAAAAGCATCATATATACATAGATATATGTTATTTATAATGAATTATTTACCTAAATCTTTCTTGTCCAGCAGTATCCCATAATTGTAATTTTATTCTCGTGCCATCTTTAACTTCCATTAAACGTGCAAAAAAGTCTACGCCAACAGTTGGATCGGAGAGCTAAAAACAACAAATTCATAAATCACTAATACAATATATAATTCTAGTAACAAAAACATGTTGAATGTATTGAATATATGATGACAGTTTGATGAATCAATCTATGCATCTCTTATGACGTTTGTTCTTACTATTAAGTTTTTCATCACTAACGATTAAAATCACATAATCATTTAAATAAATGATTTTCAACCCTGATCAATGTTATGTGAAAACAATATATAGTATGTAATGAAGATTAGATTATAACTTATTGCGACGCGCGCGGAATAACGTTCATGATAAAAATAATATATAGAAATAAAAAAATTGTACAGAATAATGACGCCAACAATGTGGCGTAACTAAGCATATCCGATAACTTCACATTTATTAAAATACAACCACAGTGGATAAAGATGCATCGTATATACCTCTGCGAACTTCCCATCGGTGAAATATTTAAGAAGAGAACTCTTTCCGACCGTACTGTCGCCAATCAATATTAGCCGAAATTGATAATCAAAAATTGGTTCCACCATCTCGATAGTAGAGAGAGAGGGGGAAAGCAAAAAAAAAATAAAACTTTTGTCCCAAATGCACGTTTCCTTTCTTTAAAAGGTGTTCATCTTCTCGTGCGCACACTTGTCAGAATAACTAAAGTTCAGCTGACCGTGACATCAATCGTCAACTTCCTACTACCTTTGCTCATCGTGCCGTCTCTATTGCGCACGTCACTGTACGAGTAAATACGCAGATCTTATAATTGTATATATCATTCTTTTTCTATAGAAAAATTTTTTCTATCGCATTTACACGTCAATATTTATTTGTGATATTTATCAAGATTATTATGTTTTCTCGTGTAAAGTAACAAAAAAACTTCAAGCTATTGTTTTGTATAATTAAAAAATGTATTTTCTTTCTCTCTCGTAACGTTTTATAAACTTGTCTAGCTCAATTATTAAATGTTACGCCACACCACAAAAAGGTTTGGGCATAAAAGATCATTTCAAGAACTTCCGTGTTCCAATATCAAAAACTTGCCTACTATTTTAATTTAGTTTTTATACGCTCAGATGGCGCGCTGATAAGTTCTTTTGTTGTATTTGTATTTACTTTAAATTACAAGTATTATATTGTATATAATTATAGTAACATTTTACAAAATATCTGTTAAAAATATGTTTTAGAATTGTTACTATAGATTTAAAAGAAAAATCTTTTTGGACTTTAATTTTCTTCGAAAATACACAAGATTAACTAAATACGAATTTATTATGACAGATCACAAATCAAATACATATACGTACACATTCAAGAGACAATCACACCAATGTATCGTTGCACCATCTAACTGTATAAATATAGAACTAAGATAGTAGTAGGTTAAAGCTCAAATTAGAATCTGGGTTCCATGATTCTCTCACTTCATATACACTGTATATAATAAACACAAAAATAACTTGTGAAATAGATACGCTGATTCGAAGAGATTATATTCATTGAATTTTCTTTCTATTATTAGCTGTATATAATAGAGACATGGACGAGGAAGAATTGATAAATGAGATTGCTAAATTACGTGAGCTTTTACATGAGAAGGAAACTGCATTAGCTTATATAAGGCGCACAAAACAAATCCCACGTGACTATGGTTTAAATAATGATGAAATTAGTAGATATAGCAGGCAAATTTTTTTGCCACAAATTGGTGTAACAGGTAATAAAGAATGTTTAGTATACTTTTCTATCATGTTTCTATGTTATTGATATTTTAGGACAAAAGAAAATAAAGGAATCCTCGGTACTTATCGTTGGAATAGGTGGATTAGGTTGTCCTTCTGCATTATATTTAACATGCAGTGGTATTGGACATATTGGACTTGTAGATTATGATAATATTGAAATTAATAATTTACACAGACAGGTGTTGTTTACGGAAGGAACTATTGGAATGCCTAAAGTAACTGCAGCTGCAGAATTTCTTAATAAGTATATGATCATTATTTTCTTCTTCTTCTTCTGTAACTTTCACTTTTATTGCAATTAATAACTTCAATGTGTTTTGAAGTGAATAATTATTATTTACTTCCTATTTATGTACTTGTAGGTTAAATAGTTATACTGAAGTTACTCCTTATAAACTTCAGCTGGACAGTAGCAATGCTTTAAAAATTATAGAATCATATGATATTGTATTGGATGCAACAGACAATGTAGCAACTCGTTATTTATTAAATGACGCATGTGTTTTAAGTAAAAAACCTTTGATCTCTGGATCAGCGTTACGTTTTGAAGGACACTTGTCTGTATTTAATTATAATGGTCCTTGTTACCGATGTATCTTTCCTGAACCGCCATCTCCTGAAACAGTAACTAATTGTGGTGATAGCGGTGTACTTGGAGCAGGTTATTATTTTTTAATTAAAGTATCTTATTATAGTATTTAAGACAGTTACCATTTAATAATCTATTATTTTTAGCTGTTGGAACAATTGGTGTTTTACAAGCAGTAGAAGCTATTAAAGTAATTCTTGACATGCCTGAAACACTTTCTGGTCGCTTGTTAATATTTGATGGAATTGAAACACGATTTCGTAATTTTACTTTACGTATGAAAAATCCAGATTGTGCTATATGTGGAAAAAATCCAATTATAAAAGAATTAATTGATTATGAACAGTTTTGTGGCTCAAAAGCTAATGATAAAGATCCTAATTTAAATATACTTAAAAGTGAAGACAGAATTACAGTTGAAACATATCATCATATAACAAAATTTAATACGGAAGATCATTTATTAATTGATGTACGTTCACCCGAAGAATTTCAAATTTGTCGTTTGAAAAATTCTATAAATATTCCACTGTATGAAATTTTCAAGGATAATGGTACTAAACAAATAAAAACTGAAATTGACAAGCAAGACAATGGAAAAACAATATCGAAAGGTAATAGAATAAATAAATATTTTTAAATACATTAATATATATATTAACACTAAATTTTGACTACAGAATCAATAATTTTCTTTTTTTTCTAGTTTATGTTTTATGTAGAAGAGGAAATGACTCACAGAAAGCAGTACAACACCTTCAAAAGATATTTAAAGATAGTCATGTAAATATTAAAGACATCATTGGAGGGATCCATGCCTGGAGCAATAAAATTGATTCAACATTCCCTATTTATTAATTGTAGTAGGACCCCTTATAACGCGAGATGTACGTTCTGCGTTATACGAATTTCACGTTATACAAATCCACGAGCGCAAAAAAAAGACTTTAAGTAATTAAATAAATAATTAGTAAAAATATTTTATAACTAAAATAATTATTACTCCTAATTGTGCGAATTGTTGATTCATTTATGTTAAATTTCTTTCATAAAGATGTTAACTGTCAACAGATTTTAACCGATCAAGAACTTATCATTTTTCTTCTAATGATATAAATCTACTTAGCTGAATTTTTCTGGAGATCTTTGGAATCATGACTGGACATTAAATACAATGAAAAAAGATTGGATTACCTTATACGTTTTTTCAAGTGCCTAATTATAAGAACTTAATCGTCCAAACTTCAACGTTCTAAAGGCAGAAAGAGGTAATATAAAAAAATACACGAATCAATTAATAATTAAAAATATATTCTTTTATTCTGTTACTATAAAGATTGTTTTATAACACATTTTTTAATTTTCATGATTTGTTTTACTTACACGAGCTTAAAAACACTTTCCTGTCACCTCCCATGCTATAAATACAGCAAACTAAAGCATATATATGTATATATTTATATATAATACATATGTTTTTACATAATTTATATAAAAATATTATTTTTTCTAAAATAAACACATATACTACAAAAAAAATCATGAGAAAAATATTCAATTGTATTTTACTAATTCTTCTGCTGATAAACTTGTTTCTGGATATCTGTAATGGATATCACTTAAACTTCTTAATTTACTCGCTGCTTGTTCCGGAGTTAAATCTCGTTGTACTTGGGCAAGTAATTCATATCCAACCATATGTTTTTTGATCGTACTTGAACGCAATAATGGAGGTAGATAAATTCCATGAAATGTCCAATATGGATAATCTTGTTTTATATATTCACCAGTTGGGGCACCTTTAATTGTTATATAATTATTACGTACAAATATTTATTTAAAAAAAATATAATAAAATTAAATAATTACCATGCCATCCCATAGAATATGGGAAAGAACACTGAAATAAGTTATCATATCTTATGCATAATTGTTTCATTATAACTGCTAATGATTCTTGTTGACTTTTTGATAAATCTTGCATTCTTGTTACTTGATGCTTTGGAAGTACCATGGTCTCATAAGGCCATACTGCCCAGAATGGTACAATTACTATCCAATCACGATTTTCTAATACAATGCGTTCCTAAAATATATCGAATTTCAAATTCATTTCTATAAATTTGTATTATAACAAATCCCATCTAATATTCCAAATATTCAACATTCATTATGTGTGTTATACTTTTACTTACCTTTTTCAATATTTCTTTTTGCATATAATCGATTAAAAGAGGTTTTCTATTACGATTATAATAATCAGCTAAATATTTATCTTTTATTCTAGCTTCGTTTGGTAAAAAAGAACTAGACCAAATTTGGCAATGGGGATGTGCATTGCTACATCCCATTAATGCTCCACGATTTTCAAATATTTGAACCCAAGTCCATTGCTTACCTAACTCAAGTATTTCGTATATCCATCTATTTTTATATAAAAAATAATATTATATAAAAATTCTGCAAATTGTTTAAACATGATATAACTTTCTTAAGATTTTATTATATATAATATAATATATATATATATATATATATATATTCTTACTTTTTAATTACTGCTTCGATATCTTCAACTTTCATAAGTGCTATAGTAACGTTTGACTTTGGATGAAAACACATTACCCTGCATGTTCCTCTAGCAGCTTCAATTTGAAACAATTCATCATCGGATTTTGGAGGAGAAGGTACTGTTTCTAATAATGCAGGAAAATCATTCGCAAATGAAAAAGTTTGTTCATAAACAGGAGTTACCTAAAATTATATTACGAATATTAAATATCATTGTTGTTGAAATAAATCATAATATTATGAAATTACCTCTCCATTGGCTCTAACATTTCCTGGACAAAGTGGATTATTAGGATCATATTCAGGAAGTTCTTCATCCATACTTGGTTCTATTTGACCTCCCCAAGGTCGTTTCATACGATGTGGAGATACTAACACCCATTCTCCTTTCAAAGGATTATAACGTATGTGTTGATGATCTACAAATGAATATTATTCTAATGAATTATAGAAATTAATTATAATAATACAATAATATRATATTATTACATACCCTTTGAATCAAAAGTTTCACTAGCTTGATTAGTATCCATGTGATTGAATTAAGAATTCTTTTCTTTTTTCTTTTTAATTACAATTATACACGTTATGTATATAATAAAAGATGTTTTATGGTCTCATTTAAAATAAAACTATAAATAAATTCTGATGCGTATCTATTTAATATATAAAATAACAATGTTTATATAATATACTTCCAAGTGACTTGACTTCACGTTATCAGTAAAACTACACGACTGTGATAAATTGAAAAGCATATATGTAACATTGAGATGTGACTTGAGGGCGGAGCTTAAAAAACATTATATTTGGACAAAACAATATTTGATAAGGCTACATTATGCAATAATAGGTAGAGACCGAACTAGATTATTACTAAATGGTACAAGCGGTTTCGTGTTTTTATCTATTATCGACCGCGTTGTTAAAAAATTAATACTTTATTTCTATATTTTTTAATTGATAATACAGTTCTCTACAAGCACATTAAAATAAGATATTATTTTTTTTTTTTTGAGTTTTTTTTTAAATCTGTTATTAACCTTTTTGAGCGCCAACTATAATCGGCATCTATGTGATGACCTGGGTATACGGACGGGTGCCGACTATAATCGGCAAGAAGATTCTACTTTACCAATAGAGTATTTATTAACCCATATTGGATTAATCCTACTAAAAGTGAATTATCGAAGTACATTGTTTAAATCTTTCGCTTTTTATATCTTTTAATTGATTTTGTTTTACAATCTATATAAATTGTAAACTTTTATAAACTAAATCGACTAGAATTAATTGTTCTTATCAAAGTAATTATATATATATATATAAATATATATAAAATATTCTAATTTTTGAACATATCACAATAGATTTTATTTTTTTACTTAATGACAGATGTTTGTTTATGATATACTATACACAATAATATTAATGACTTTTAATATGACATGTCATGTTATTCAAGACATTTTGTTTACAATAGCTACATGTAATGATTGTAATTGACTGGTCCATTTATCTAAAGCATTATAGCGAGCGGCACAAACGGATTTTTTATCCAATTCAAGGACCTGGTTCACCTATAATATTTTTGAATAAATATTCAAATATTCCTTTCAATTTTTATTTTTTAAAATAACTTTTATACCTGATCAATTCGTCCATGTATGGTACTATCAAGAATGCAGGATACAAGAAGACTTTCCACTTCTGATACATCTATGTTCAATTCTTTACTTATGAAAGGTATATGGATCCTTGTATAAGGCTTTATTAGTTTAATAAGAACCTAATAAAATAAAAAGTATTATTAAATTATTGATCAAAATCTAATTTTGATATATAAATGCCATACTTGAGTGCGAATATTTCGTAATAAATCCTCAATATGCTCTCGAATAAATGGATCATCCATAATATTATTTCTATTTTGTTTCAAAATCAATTCGAATTGATTAATATCATTGTTTTGATAACTAACAACTAAATTTGTCATTGCTAGAATTTCTGGATCATTTTTGTATGGTTTGGCTTCTTGCGAATCAAATGGATTAATTCCAGATTTCATTAACCTAAAAATTGTAAAATGTTATTTTAAATATAACATTTTTAAAGACAAAATATTTTGTTTTAAGAAATATAGATTTCTATTTTTTACTTACATATTTGCTAATACTAAATATTTTAAACACGTTGTACGTCTTGGAGATCCTGATTCATCGTAATTTTTAAAAGCTTCGAAAAAATCTGTGTGTGCTCTTTCAAATTCTCCTTCTCTTAAATGCATTTTTCCTCCACATTCTAAAAAAAATTGAACATACAATTTATACTATACAAGATCATATTTAAAAAATTCATATTTAACTCATTATACAGTAAAAGACTAACCTCTGATAACTCCCATTATTAATGGATGTGGTATAGCACTTTTAATATGAAGGCTTTGCTCGTACAAAGTTTTTAGTTTTTTGTTATTTTTTTGTGCAGTGTACATCTGAATTTCTAAAGCATATATTTCTAAAAGTTGTGTTCCTTTTTTTAAATCATCTTCTCCGTCATCAGTCTAAAAAAAAATATATATATATATATTATTTTTTTATATATACAAAGATCACAGTCAAAATGGTTACCCCAAATCAAGAAACACTCTGACAAAAAATACATACCTGACAACTTTGATGAAGCTGCTTCAATATTTTGGCTAATTTATTAAAATCAGAACGATCAAAATATAACTTTCCTAACTTCGTATTAGTTTTAAACCATAATCTATCATTTTTCGCATCTTTCAATGCATCTAAAGTAGTTTCGTAAAAATCTTGCAATAGTTCCATCTATTGTAAATAACAAATGAATATAATTATAATTATTTAACTTATTACATTGAATATAATTCATTTACTTAACTTTTATTTTAAATACTTACATTTTTTGATGTACTTATATAATCGAGTATCGAATTAATAGATTTTTCTGAATGATTTCTCGTTACAGCACTTTTAATATAAGTTAATAATTGCTTATACCTCGCCATCATTTCTTTGTAATTGGACTGTAATACACAAACAATTATTTAATAAATTAATACTAACTAACTGTTATTAATATCATTGTAATCAAATTTTGATATACCAATTTAAAATTAATTTTGATCATTTGTTTCAAAGCTTTGAAACCCCATTCTCCTTTTTCTCCTCCTTCCAAATCTAAAACTTTCTGAAAACTCTGCAATGCAGCTTTTGGATCATCTTCTTTTAATGCTTTGCTATTATAATATTGATTCTCCAAATCGACATCAGGTTCTGAATTAGAATCTTCTGAATATTCCTATAATAAACATAAGTTTACAAATTAGTCTGTTAAATAATTTCTCATCAATTAGCTACGTAAAATGCTTACTAAAAACATAACCTAAAATAAGCTTTATACAGAACGATCATGCTAGAAGTTTAATTTTCAAACAAAAATACTTACTAATCCATAGTCTTCTTCTTCTTCGCACATAAAATCATCTTCTCCATCCGACATTTTATACTGATTTAAATAAACAATATAAAATAGAAGTAAAATTCGTTCAACGTACTGACAGCGACAACGATACTATAATATTTTGAATTCACATCTAGTGTTACTAGAATTGACTAAAATACTAGATCAAGAGAAAATCGGATGGTAGTGGGGGAAAGTAGTAGCAGTAGTTAGATTAAGTTAGGTTAAGAATGCAACGTTTTATCATAAGATAACTCATGTATTTTGGCGTTGTATATTCCCTCGTGGTAGCGTTGGTTACATCGTAGATCAATTTGATCAAAGGAAGAAAAAGTAATAAATATAAACAATGTCTTTTTATGAAAATAAAAGATGCTAGAACTCGCTTCTCTCTCTTTTCAAGTTTTTTATTTAAAAAAAATTATATTCAAATATTTAAATGAAATTTAAAGCAGTATTTCCTATGCCATAGAACTCATAAAAAATGAAACATAATTTATTTTTATTTTTTCTTAAATATTCTTTCATTCACTTGTAAAACATTAAAAATACCGTTCCAGTGCATTGCATAATAAAAAAGTAACTCAAATGAGAGTTACCAAACTTTCCTATACAGTTATAGTATCAATCTTAAAAATACCTTTCCTTCTTTTTATTGTTTTAAGGTAAAATAATATGCTTATACAATTTGATGCTGACTTCTGGCAGTGTAATTTATTTTATATATATATAATATATATATATATATTTCAATATTATCTTTAATACAAAATGTACACGTGTGAGATTGAAGTCAAGGACTACTCAAGGCTTATGGCAGTGTTGATACTCGCTATTTTTAATAATCTTTCAGAACTTTTAGACAAGCGTATCCTTTCCTCAGGATTTAAAATTTCCGCAATAATTTTTTCATCACTACGTCGTTCGGATATTTGAAGAATTTCTTGGAGTTTATCATGTTGATTCATTGTGCATGTTTCACCTGCCGCTTCTTCTGTTACTATAGTTAATTGTCCAGCAGCTTTTATTTCGGAAAAAGTAACTCTTCCATTAACTTTACTTTCTGAAGGACCATGAGACGTTTGAGGACTAGTCTCGGATATAATAGGAACACATGATTGTAAAGGATTTTCTTCTGTACCAACGGGTAATTTTAATATGGTGACTGGTTCTGTATAAAGCTGTATTGCGATATAATTATTAACAAATTTTTAAATAATAACAATATATAATATGAAACAAATTTCTCTTTTGTAATATATGAAATTACATTTAATACATACCGCATCAAACGAAGAATCTAGAAATAATTCTTGTAAGAATCGTCGTGCTGGTATTCTATAAGAACTACTTCCTAATCGAGACGCTACGTCTGAGAATAAGCAAGCATCCTGTTGAATAAATTACAAGATCAATATATCTAGAACATAATTATCATTATTCTGAATGTGAACATTAGAAAAATATTACCTGGAATTTCTCAGGATACCTTTGCCTTAATCTAAGAAGTGTTTGTCTACTATGTCTGTACCAGACAGGATTTGCAAGTCGCTGTGTATGCCTAAGAATTTCCCTACTCACACAAAAAACATTAATTATATTATTGTAATAAAACAAGAAAGAAAAAAAAATAGAAAGAATGAAAATTCATTGATTTTTAAGTATATGATTAAAGATAAATCATTTTCTTCATAAAAATGTTAAAGAGTCCTGCAAGATAACAAATTTTCGCGCATCAAATACAACAGAGAAGAAATATTACATATTTAATAGATTCTATTGCATTATATTGATAGATTGGTACCTTAAGCAATAAGAAAATTAGCTAATATTCTCATTCTTTTTAAAATAACAAGTATTAGAAATCCTGCAGAATATTATTATCCTTGCCTCCGTAGTTTTATATCTGCTTCTCCCATGAAAACCTTAGTGTTACTTTTTGCACGGTAACAGACAAGGCACACTCGACCATGTTCTGTGTCGGCATCACTTTCTGATCCAGATTCTTCATCTATTTCATTAGGACCTATTTCAGGTTTACTCGTATCATCAATTGTAGTAGTAACTACTGGTTGAAGTGGATCCGGAAAAAGAGTCGTGAGTTTCCTAGGAAGGCAAATACCCATATAAAATAGATTATCATTGTCATTTTCAAGAGGTGGTGGGGTATGTGTGAGTATATTATTCGTAATCCAGTTATGGGATGAATCGAATTCTGAAAGGCTCTGTAACGATAGTCGTCCATCTAAACTGTACATCTGTAATATGTATAATAAAATATATTTTTAAATAGAATAAGAATGACATAAAATGACTTTTTATAAATACTCACCTCTAAACTACTTTGAGAATAACTTGGCCTACGATAACGTTGTAAATTACGAAGACGGGCATACCCTTCTGCATCTTGTTGACTTAATCTTTGTATACTTGAAAGTGGACTCGGAGTTTCTCCTCTTTCTCTAATTACAAATAAGATACAAGTCGTTTATAAGAGGTTCAATAAAAAAAGAAAAAATGTATTGAAACAAAATTGATATTATACCTTCTTGCTTCTAAATCCGTAGCTGCACTCTCAGAGCGATTTCTAGTTCGACGAGCTGCTGGTTCAGGTAATTCAGGCTTACCATCACTAAGACTTCGATGATGCCTTTGAATAAGAACGGGACTTGGTAAGGGATAGCGGATAGTAGGTCGAATTATCGTCCAATGGTCTCCTCTTCTATGTCTTACACTTGGCCAATTGAAAGTCATCAGTACATCCGTGCCTGCACGGGTTGTAGCAATAAGACTTAAAGCATACATAGCCGTTGCTCTTATCGAATAATAAGGACATGTTTCAGCCATAGATGCAATCGTTTCTATAATTCCTGAATGATTTAATTGTTCAACTCCTGCAGCTGATGTTCCTATATGTCCCAATGCCCACAATGCAGATTTTGTTTTCAATATTTGTTTTTCTAAATTAATGGACTGATCATCACGAATCTCAAGATCACTTCTCCAACTTTTATCAGGAGTAGTACGTCTTGAATCATTTAAGCTTGTCTTCCTTCGTATTTCTATTAAATATTCACCTTTTGGTGGAGTTGATAAGTCAGATAATTCTATTGTTTCAGCATCTACAATTGTTTCTAGACGGTTTGGTTCAGCAAATTCCTCTATACATGACTCTTCTGACATAGTATAAGTATCATCCATGATTAAACGGCTACTTTTAGTACATCTTGAATTAGATTCCGAGTCTCTACTTCCTAAATCTATTTTAAATCTTTGAATTATTCGTGCATAATGTTGTATTACATTTCGACGGAGCAATAATTGCATTCCATAGTCATGCCGTACTATTTGACCTATAAAATGAGGTAAAATAAATATATTACGAGGCGTTATCAATTCGTTAGTTGTTCTTCTGTGGTAACTTCCATTTTCGTTTCTTTGACGACGTGTTAAAGAGTCATGTATTTCACCTTCTACTAATCCTACATATCTCTCTGCAAAACCTCCTGGTCCAATCCATTTTTCTAATTCTTCTGAAGGTGATGGTAGAGACAAGAAACCTTCATGCAGAGAGTAAAGTCTTATTTTTAATAAGTACCCTTTATCTCCTAAATGTTGCAACCATTTATCCCAATTTCCTTTATTTTCTCCTTGACGTAATAAAATTTCTAAATATTCAGTTTCTTCGCATACTTCATGCAATACCTCTAATGCAGTCAGTGCTACAACCTTACTGGTATCCATTAATCTTTCTGTTAATAATGTTAACGCCCAATTGTATGCATCTAACATTCTTGCTCTGAGTATCAATCTTAGGAACTGTGTAGCATATAAACGTGTGCTCTCTAAAGATGCTTCAGCAATAATTTTATTCAGAACTTTTCTATTAGATCCTTCTCTCGAATAATCTAAACTTGAAACTATAAGTTTCACGTAACAGTCATGATTGGTGGCTAGAGCCAAGTCTTGTAATTTCTCTAATAAATTGAATCTTTTTAAAATAACGGTTCCTTTTGCAGAATGACTCAGTTGTCCTAAAAAGAGGAAATATTTCTGACAACAGGTTGTAGACATATGACGAGGTGAGAATAAGCAATCGTGTGCAGACTGTGCTGTACTGATACAAGAGATTTGTTCTGCAATATCCATAATCAGTTCATTTAATAATTTCATATTCTCAGGTTCTCGAAGCTCTAATAAAAAGTTGAGTAATTCGCAGCCTGCTAAAGTTGCTTCTCGTGCTAAAATAGCATTTGTTCCCAATTCCACTCTACTATATGCATTCGATGATGGTTTGAAATAACGAACGAGTCTTTTTATAAACAATCTATAATCAGAATCATGGAGTATTCTTATCGTATCTTCGCGGGAACGAAGGATTGATCTTACTACAGGCCAATTCCAAGCCAGCGCATCCTTAGAACTTAGGACTTGTGCATCCTTTAATAAAGGTGTAGTTGGAGATTCTCTACGTAGCCAATGTCTACTAGATGGTCGTTGGCGTCGTGGCAAAGTTGGTCTCAACCAAGTACCAGCTCGTAACATTCGATCAAGAAAGAGACTCGCAGGTGTCGATCGGCGACGCATCATTGTATGCATTCGTCCTAAGATTGTTACAGCGGCGAGCGCTTGATGTTTACCAGCACTTGCATGTTCCAATAAGTTTGGCAAAGGTGGTGTTAGATCACACACTTCTGAAGGTAGCAGAGAATGTGCTAGATGCAATAATGCTCCTAATAGTACTGCTGCACGTACAGAAATAAAAGTATCGGAAGAAACGATTGTTTCTGCAAGTGCTCTGTGTAATCCACATTCTAATAAAGCATACACTAGTAATGCTAAATGTATTTCTGTTATATTTGGCCAACAAGACGAAAGAGATGGTAATATAAACTTTCCTTCGGCTGCAACAAAACCTTCAGATAATTTCCACGAATCTCGTGTTCTGCCAGGATCAACTGCAGCCAATGCAACATCTGGTTCATCAGTCCATGTCGGCAAAGGTAAATCCAATAATTCATAAAGTAATTCCAAAACAGCTCCACGAACTTCAAGCTGTTCAACGTATAAGATATCTGCTATAGCTTTAAGGCCAGAATTATTGGTAGGACAACAAAAATGTAAAACACCTGGATAAGAGCGTAATATACTCAATAATGCCATCTTACTTGCTGCAAATTTTTGATCTCGTTCCTCTTTTGTTCTTTCTGAGCTTGAAGAATGTAGTTCACAATATGGTGCTGCGAAACATAAAAGGGAAACACTCCCTCTTGTATCAGGATTATTTAATAATTTTAACAAAACCCCCACGACGGATTCGACAATTGAAGGGCTTTGCCCAGTCATAGCTGCTCGTGCGAGAGCACTAACTCCTCCACAACTTATTAACAAATTTGAATTCAAGACTCCTAATTCGCAAAGAGTAGCTAAAAATACTCTGAATGCACGATCTCTTTCCTCTATGCCTCCATTAGTTAAACTTATAAGAGATCTGGCTAAGACAGGGCTGAAATGTTTAGGAGCTAAAGCTAAAATTCTTCTAACAAGTCTAAGAGCTTGAACTCTTTCCATTTCGTTTCGTAGATTAACATCCATACTACGTGCCACAAAATATGGGTATTGCAATTTATTAATAGCAATAACATCTTGTTCTTTCTTAAGCATATACCTTACAGCGCGTAGTGCTGCTGCACGTACTTGGGTTGCTTCATGTACAAGGCCTACGCGCATACTAAAAAAGAATCATTTTTAAAATGAAATAATATATAATCTAATAGTATGAAATTATAAAATTCTATTATCAACAAATTATGCATTCTTACCAACAAAATAGATCATCCATGGAGTAACCATAATCAGATAAATTATTTTCACTAATTAATTTAACAATAGCATTAAGATAAGCTAGCTTCTTTACACTTGGTACATTATGTCGTTGACACAAATTAGTTAAAACTTCTTTTACGTTTTCTTTTAGCCCTATAAAAATAATTTATAATTGTTATTAAATTATTTTTATTAAAAAATAAAAATGTTGCCTTATATGCATAAAGTAATCATTTCTTAATGTCATTTAAATTAATATTTTGATAAATAAATGCAATCTAAATACAACGAATCTAAATTTTCTAACGTAGTTCATAAATTTGAAATATGACGACGTAGCAAGTACGTAGTATTTTTAAATAAATGAACTATCATATATCAGTGTCATCAAAACAATTAGACTTAGAAATATTCTTCCCAATAACAAAAAAAAAAAAAGATATTTCGTGTACATTAAAAGATATACTGCAAGTTACTCATCCATTTGATTTAAAAATAAGGCCTTATTTCCGTTGATTTACAAAATTCTACGAATCTACATATTATCTTTTAGGTTAAGTCTCTAACCTCTTGACAGATCGAGTTGCACACAACTGTCTTCGTTATCTCGCCGACCTATTAGAAGTAAAATTATAATTATTAAACTTATATTAAATTTATAATTGATTTTTCGATAATAAAAAAATCACACGTTAACATTTAAACGTACTTCGATTATATCTACTTGTACGTTGAGTCCAGATCAAATAACTAGAGATTGCCATTTCTTAGCCGGCTGCTACCCACGATCACTATTAACACTCTTCGTCCGACCGTTACCACGTGCCTTTTTCATGAAATATGTCATGCTCACGGCTTAACTCAACAAACGAAACACTTCAAGTACAATTTATTGATAAAAATCAATCAGTTGAATTCGAACTCGAGCAAAGTTTCTCTCTCACTCGAAAAATCTCGTTCGCACTATCGTTAATTCTCGCGACGTAGCAGTCACGTTAATTTCTCTCTTGCTAAAATTATAGATGTCTCAGTCGATTCGCAAAATTTTAACCTTATTCTCTATCTTGTGTAACAGCGTTACCAATCGGCAAATTTAGAGAACTATTTAATAATAAGGAAAATAATCATTTTATTTTATATCTATTTGTTTATATATATATATATATATATGATTTTCTTTTCTTTTTTTGAAATGACAAAAAAAAAATAAAAGACAGATTAATTAATAATCGAATACAATGATTTGACGAATTTCCTTCTTTTCGTTAAGAATAATCGAAGTGTGTCCTAGATATTCATATAAATCTCGACACAGATCAATGTTTTCTTTTCTTTTCCTTTCCTTTCCTTTCCTTTCCTTTCCTTTCTGTTTTTCTTTTTAATATGAGTTGCAACTTTTTTCTTATAACTTTGTTTCTTCCTATTTATTTATTTGGCTAAATATGTAATTATTAATTTTTTGTTAATTTGCAATATCGTAAATATAAACATTACAGTATTTTTACTTGCCATTATACAAGCATGCGACATTTTATACATTTCATTGTTAAATAATTCTAAATTGTTTAATTTTTAAATGAAAAAATTAATTATTTTTTACATAATGTTTAACAAAAAGTAGATGAGAAAGAGAAAGAACAAAAGAATATAAAAAAACAACATATTTTTAATTATTTATTTAAATGACGTGAAGTTGTATAGTGCGGCAAAAGTGATTTCGATTGTAAACTACATATCGATATATCGATTGTGTATGACATTGACATGCTCTAACTTTCAGTGCATATTACTTTTGTGAATCGAATACATTTTTGACAACAGTAGTGAAGGAGTTTAATAATTAACAATTAAATACTATTAAATAATATTTTAAAAAATGGCTTACGCAGTAGATAATATCGTTCATAATATGAGTCCGATGTCTGATAATTTAGTTCCAGATTGGCTAAATTCCGAACAAAGTACTGGTGTAAGTTAAAAAGTGTTGTTTTATTTAAAGGTTATAATGACAATGCATTTATAAAAATATTCTTAAATGTAAATGTAAATTTCATGGAATTTTCTATATTGTGCAACAACAAGTTATAATGATTACATTTACAATTGTTATTGTAATAAATGTTACATTTACAATAGTTACAGTTATAATTGTTGGTTAATTTTATATTACAATTATATTTCTGATTATAGACCTCTATAATGGCTATAGAATTTGACGGAGGTGTTGTCATAGGTGCAGATTCACGAGCTACTACAGGGTATTATGATTTTAATAAAAATGTTTTACACATTATGCTATTTATATTTTAAAGTTAACCATATTTTTAAACATTTCATTTCAGCTCATATATAAGCAACCGTTTTGCCGATAAGTTGACTAGAGTCACAGATTATATCTATTGCTGCCGTTCTGGTTCTTCTGCAGATACCCAGGCTATTGCAGATATTGTTGAATATCATTTAGGTCTGCACAGGTTAGAATATAATTTTTAATTTACATACATTCTATATTTTATATAATTTATAAATTTTTATTGAAATTATTTAGGATGGAGCTTGGCACACAACCCTTGGTAGAGACAGCTGCTAATGTATTTCGTGAAATGTGCTATAATTATAGAGATTCCTTGATGGCAGGAATTTTGGTAGCTGGATGGGACAATCAAAAAGGAGGACAAGTTTATAGCATTCCTCTAGGAGGTATGTGCGTTCGACAACCTATTGCTATTGGTGGATCAGGTTCTTCATATGTTTATGGCTATGTTGACGCACATTATAAACCAAATATGACTAAAGACGAATGTGTTACTTTGGTGCAAAATAGTGAGTATAACAAAATTTGAATATATATTTTTTTTTTTTTGATAGATTTGGTTATGAATTTATTTAAATATGTGATACTAAAATATCTTTACAGCATTGGCGTTGGCTATGTCTCGTGACGGTAGCAGTGGTGGTATTATACGTCTTGGTGTAATTACAGATAAAGGAATTGAAAGAAAAGTGATAATGGGTGATAAATTACCTCAATTTTACGAGGGTTAAAAATATTTCATTAATAACGAACTTTGAAATATATATATTTATCCTAACTAATGCATTATTCTAAGATTCAACATTTGTTAAATAAATATAGATTAAAGGATACTTCTTTTAATTACCTATGAAAGAAAAAGATAAATTTTATGACCTATTCGTTTATGTCACAAAGAATTATAAATATTTTTTTTGTGAAACAATCGATTAAAAGGTTTGTTAATACTTTTCAAAAATAATTGTCTTTTTATGAATGATTACTTTTAGTTATGCAACTCTGCGGTCCATCGATGTTATGACCTTCAAATGATATGGTGCTGTCGTAATAATTTCGATGTTATTGTACATTTACGATGCTTAATAACAGAAAATATAAACTTAATGATTAAAACTTTTTAAATATTATAGATATAATTCGTATAGGAAGAAAACCAAATAAACGTGGTTAGAGTTTCTTATTATGTTTCCAATAAATTGAACTACGTTAGTCAAACAGCCTTGGGTGGCCGTGGACCGCAAAATTTGAATCATATTTAACCCGCGATTTCAAATCATTATGTTGTTTATTGTCGAATGAATATTTATAGCTCATTGTGTTAACTATTCTTTGATGTTGAAAACTTGTAACAGGAAGAATTGTGGGCCCCCCAATCTGACCGAATATATACCCGTACTACTACTACTAAATTTAGGTCATATTATCCACTTGTGATACCCACGAATATAATACCCCCCAGTCGTTTAAGCGTATGTACTTAATTCTCATTGTTCGCTTAACGAGAAAATTGTCGCAACGGCACAAACTTAATGTATGTAATAACGCCAAACCACACAAGAGCTTTTGGATTATTCTGGGGCTTGGAATACATGTTAGTACGTCTTTGCCAAAGGATGGATTAGGTTTCCTCCATAATTTGAAGTTTAGTGATTTGACAATGTTACAAGAATTCGGTTCACTTTATTGTCAATTGGTCAAACATTGTTTAGTTATTAATATTCAAGAATAATATCTAATCTTTTGTCAAGAAAATTAACAAATTTTGAAGACAATTGTAAAATTGATAATTCATCAGAAATATGAGTATTGTTATTTAATTAAAAATAATATTTATGAACAAAAAGTTGTTGTTAAAGTAAAAGGAGTACAATTTTGATCAAAATTAATGTAACTACGTATTAAAGATCATCTTTCTGTGAGTAAAAAAAAAAAGAAAAGAAATTTATTGGAGCGCGCAGAAATATCAAAAGGACGTTATTAAACTATATAAATACTGTCCTGATAAAAGATGACTTCGGAGGACAGTTCGGATGAACTGTTGACAAAATGGGTTCAAGAAATCCCGACAGTTCAAGAAATTAACAAGTCCATGCAAACCTTTGCTATTCCGGATTATACCGTTTTCGTCTTAATGCTTTCAGCTTCTGCTTTCGTTGGTATTTATTTTGGTTTCGTAAAAAAGATTTCAGGAGAGGATGAATATTTGGTCGGCGGTAGAAACATGAAAGCATTTCCAATTGGTTTGAGTTTAATAGCCAGTTTTATATCAGGTAGAATGTTAGCAAGAATTTTTCTTTCTAAATTATCATCTATACTATGTCAATGTTGTTAATTATAATAGTATATGGGTATTGTTTGTTAGGTATATCTTTATTGAGTATACCAACTGAGGTTTATGTTTATGGTACTAGTTATCTTTTCATTTCTTTTGGATTGATTTTTGCTGGCCTTATCATGTCAAAAATATTTCTACCTGTTTATCATGATTTAAAACTCACTAGCACGTACGAGTATCTTGAAAGACGTTTCGATAAAAGAACACGATTATTAGGATCTATCCTCTTTTCCATCAGTATGGTGAGTAATTTGTATAAACGTAAGAGACCTTTCTATGTTATCCTGACAATAACTGTTTAATACTTGCATATTGAAATTATACAGATAGTCTATCTACCCATTGTTATCTATGTACCAGCATTAGCTTTAAATCAAGGTGCGTGTAATCATCAATTAAAATGCTTGAATAAGAAATACTTTACTAACAAAGCAAATATTTTATTAATTAATCATTTTTAGTGACTGGAATTAATGTCCATATCATCACACCTTTTGTATGCATCATCTGTATTTTTTATACTTGTATGGTAAGAATCTATATCTTTTCGTTGTTGAGAATTTGGTTCATTTAGATTATGTTTAGGATTGTTATTTGTAGGGTGGATTAAAAGCAGTGGTCTGGGCTGATTTTATTCAAGCTTTCGTAATGTTTGGATCGATGCTTTTGATCGTGATCAAAGGCACTTCAGATGTAAATGGATTATCGGTTGTATTAGAAAGAAATCGGGATTCTGATAGACTCGAATTTCCAGCGTTTGTATATTGACATTTCAAATTTTATAAAGCTCTCTATATCTATCAAATATTTTTATTTTATATCAAACAAAATAGTTTAGATTGGAGTCCTATGACGAGACATACAGTTTGGTCGCTTATAATTGGAGGATTTGTTCAATGGTTGCAATCTTTGGCAAACAGTCAAAGCATAATTCAACTTTTTCTCGCACTACCTACTTTGCAAACGGCTAGAAGGTAGTTGAAACATTTTTAATTATTAAATAATTGTGTATAGAACAAAGAGCCACTTGTTGGTTTTTAGGGCACTCTGGTGTTTTATTATTGGAGTTTCGTTAATCGTGGGAACGTGTGGATATGCAGGATTGTTAATATATGCTTGGTATTATAAATGTGATCCTCTGACCACGAAAGTAATTCAATTAATATTATTTTTATTATTTTTATTATTTTATTAAATATCTTTAGAGATAATTTGTTGATCGATCAATTATAGTTGGCTGGTACAAAGGATCAACTTTTACCTCTTTTAGTTATGAACGTTTTGGGAGATTATCCTGGATTACCTGGTTTATTTGTTGCTGGAGTATTCAGTGCTGCTCTCAGGTATTACATACATTTGATGATTGATAATATAAATTAGAAATAAATTAAATATCTTAGCAGTAATCATCTGTTCCAATAATTTATAGTTCTTTATCAACTGGTTTGAACTCTATGGCAGCGGTCGTATTAGAAGACTTTATTAAACCATTTCGTAAGACAGGATTCACTCCTAGAATCACTGATATTATTATAAAATGTATAATTATTATCACAGGAATAATTTGTGTGGCTCTTGCTTTTGTCGTCGAAAAAACTGGATCGCATGTTTTGCAGGTAAAAGATCAATGAAAACGATACTTGATATATCTTTTGATAAAAATATTTCAAGTAATTCAGAAGTGTTATCTAACTTTGCTTTTTTAATTCACGATAAAGTTAACTGTCAGTCTAAATTCTATCACAAATGGTCCATCTCTTGGTATTTTTACTATGGGGGTTCTAATGCCTTGGGTAAATGCAAAGGTATTTCTGATATTGTTTTTATAATATTTCTTGAAAGTACAGTTTATTTATTTCATTAGTTTATAATAATTGTTAGGGTGCTCTCATTGGTGGTTTAGCTGGTTGTGGTTTTATGAGTTGGATCACTCTAACAGCTCAAACAGCTATAGCTACTGGAAGAATGAAGTGAGTAATTTAAAAAATGTAATTAGAAACGAATGAAGAACATTTTTATAATTCGATTTAATATCTATTTTTAAATAGATTCGATGAAAAACCTGTTAGCATTGAAGAATGTACGTATTCATTTCCTCAAGTAGAAAATCTCTTTTTATTTACACCTTCTGAAACAATATTGAACGAAGAAGACAAGAATTTATTTCCGTATGTAATCCATTTTATGTAAAAATTTGTATTATAAACAATCCATTATGGATGATTAATTTATCTTACAATTATTATATATAACCAGGGAGCTATCGGCATTGTATCGTATCAGTTATTTATGGTATACCGTAATTGGTACTTTGGTTACCTTGAGTATTGGTCTCATAGTAAGTATTATTTCTTCCGAGGACGTTAACAAATTAGATCCTATGTTATTAGCTCCATTCATAAGAAAGTTCCTGAGATCTTCTAACAAAGATTTACAACAAACACAGGTGATCAATTACGAAGATACTTTTAATTTAGAAAATCAAAGATTTTGATGTAATTATATCTTCTTTTTTTTTTTTCTTTCACAGAATACAAAAACCAATCTCAAAGTTGAAGAACAAGTGGATACTGAAGATGATAAAATATTGGCAGTGTCATCGATATGAACAATGATTTAGTTATTTAAGATTTATTTACAAAAGAAATTTTATATTTTAATTTTTATTATTTTTTTATACAAAATTATGCTATACACATATATATATATTTATCTCGTTGTATGTACGATCTTATTACGAAATATTTGTTTTTGATGATGATTTGTTTTTGAAATGAATTTGAACTCTAGATGACGGATGATTTATAATTGTATATTTAAAAATACATTTAAATTTTGCTTAAAGTGTTTGCATAAACATAACATATGTGAAATCTTCACGATAAACTTCATTATTTATTAATCTATATTCTATAATTATTATTTTTTTTCTTTTTTTGTTTGCGTATCACATGTATAGGTATACATTATTTATTAAATCTTACAAAATATTTTAATTTATCATTTTTTTTCTTCTTTTCATTTCTTCATTTTTTTTCTTCAGTATGAGATAATAGAATGATTGTAACGGATCTTTTTCTATTCGTAGAAAAAGATTTATCTATGAATTGTCATCGAAAAAAGAGTACACACTTATACAATATTACAATAAAAAGGATTATATAAACAATAATTATATAATATCAAAAGGAAAAAATGTATTTTTCCTCCTTAACGAAAAGTAAAGACACTTTAAAGGCATACATAATTCTAGATACGATTGTGTGTGTGTGTGTATATAAATAGAATAATATATATATATATATAGAGTGTACCAGTCAACTTATCACTTAAAATATTTCTGTTATTTTTTATTTTATGAAAAAAATGCTTATACTACAAAATTAAACTTTCTCACGGTCATTTTTACGAGATCATTCATGTCTTTTCAATTGGAACCTTATAAAATTGCTTTTTTTTTTTTTTGTATAAATTGATTCCTCGTGTTATTCTGAATGAAAAATAATTAGAAAAAATACTCGCTAAGTATTTTTAAATACGTTTTACAGATTTTTTATTTTTTTTTTTTAATTGAAATTAGAAGAAAATGTCGTGATGTTCAAAATGGAGTATAACCATGAGATGCATTAATGGTCACATTTTTTTTCACGAATCCTTTGAGTATATCCTTTAAAAATATTTCAGATGATAAATTTTGCCGATACATTCTGTATATATATATAATCAATTTATATATTTACAAAGTCATATTTGTATAACAAATATTTATTTTAATTGATTTATATTTTTACGTTTTCGCGTCCTTCGTGTAGACTGTAATATTTATTGAAAATTGATATATATATATATATATTTATATATATATCGAAATACAAGAGTTATATGAAAAATTGTATCTAAATATAAGAGCTATTGTTTTATATTATATTTTATATATTATTATTTTATATAAGAATAAGTATTATTGTGTACAAGAAAAAGACAAAGTAATATATTTGTTTGTATTTATAGAAGAAGTCAGACTGCACTATTACAGATATTTTTAATAAAAATCTTTATATCAATGTTATTATTATATACACTTATGTCTTTTCAAACTAATTTTTTTATCTGACAAAGTTTTTTTTTTTTAATAAGTAATACATGACTTTTCTCCATACAATGCTTTCCAACATTTCTTTTTTTTATACTTGTCACATTTATATATCGAATAATAGATAAACAATTTTTACGAAATCGTCATTACACTTAAATTAAATTTATTTATAAATAATTTCAACGTAAAAATACAAGATCATAAAACTCTGCATAGTTTTTTTTTTTTCTTTTTCCTTTATATTTCTAATACACAAAAATGTCGATAATATTTATCAAAAATTATTGATTAATGATGAAAAATACATTCCGTGGAATATCTTTTTGAAAAATTAATGCAAATAATTAAAGAGGATGATGTATTAAAAAATACATCACTCTATTTTGTGCTAACTCTGTAATAAATAATTCTTTTTTTATTGTTATTCTTCTTCTTCTTCTTCTTATTATTATTAAAATATGAAGGAAATCATGTTCTGGATTCTAAACTTGACAATATTTTTCATTCAAACATTTAATATAATGAAAGTTAAAAAAATATATATATATATACGTATATATATTCTATAATAAAAATAATCTAGTATATAGTTTACATATAACAACGTTCTTATAAAAGCGTATAAAAAGATATACGAAGAATCCAGTTTTATGATTAACTTTTATCATTTCATTACTAATAAAGTATAGATCATGAAGTAAATCATTTTCTTATTTTTTTATTTCTATTTTGGACTAGATTTGAAGAACTTGATAATTCTATATGCAAAACAACACATTTATCAGACTGAATGATTGATAAAATTGACATTCATATTATGGGGAGGAACACGTAAAAAGCTGGTAAAAAAATATTCTTTGTACTTTTCAAATACACCAAGCTGAGCTATCAATAAGATAGAGATCATGCATTAATACACACAACTACATTGTATATAAAATATTGAATAATCTTTTATATTATATTTTCTTTTTATCATTAGAGAAAAAAATGTATTTGTAGAATTATTATATAAGATATATATATATATATATATATATAGGTATATATATGCACGGTCTCATAACATCTATGAAAATAGTATTCTTAATATTTTTTTTTTCTTTTTTGTTTCTACAATAAAAATATTACTTATATATTTTAATTTTACATTATATATCTTTAACGTAATTCATATGTAATATGTGATCGTTTGCGAAACACTATTGCACAAATATTGGATTGTAAAAAATATTAATTTTCTGTTTCTTTTTTTTTTTTTTTCTTATTAATAGAATAAAAAAGTCAATTGCGAAAAGAAAATTACAATATTAGAATTAAAAATGACAATTTTTAGCCGTAACGTGTACGTTTAAGATATCCAATGTGTTTCAACTTATTTTTAAACATTTTGTAAGTACATTTAAAACATATTAAATTAAAATAGCTATCCTAATTGCTTTTTATATAAGTATGATGTAATAATTAATTAATATAATTCTATTTCTCTTTTAAAAATAACGTGTGTGTGTGTGTGTGTGTATATGTATATATACAAGGTGTCTCAGTTTTGTTTCGTCGAACTTTATCAACATATTTTACAAAGCAAAAATAAGAGAAAAATGTCATATAAATAAACTTATAAATGCTTTATTAAAAAGTTATAAATAAAAATATGAACTGACATCTACGAGAATTAAAATCTATTGTATTATTAATTTTATATTCATTTTCCTTCATTTTTCTATATACATCGTAAATTTGTAGTCTTAACTCTTGATGAAAAACCACTTCTTAATTATTTCGTATTTGTTATTAAAACTTTTTAAATAAAACATTGAAGAATTTATATTTAAATAACTTTTTTGATTTACTTTTGTTTGTAGAATATATTAGTAACGTTTGATGAGAAAAAATTGAAACACCCTATATATTTGAGGCACTCGGAATGTCAAACGAGTTCGAGGAAACATTTCTCTGACGTAATTTGAAAAAATCTCATATAACTTTGGAATAAAATATTAGAATAATAATAAAATATTAATGTTAAAAGCTGAAAAATAGTTAATAGAAATAAAAAGAAAATATATGAATATAGTATGAAAGTATTTTTATGAAAGGTCTCATCACTTCTATCTTTTTCTTATTTTGTCTTTTTTTTTTTTGTGCTGAAAAATTGTATGGTACCCATCATATAAGAACATTTGTTTCTGGAGGTATCATTGCGATTTAAAATTATTTCAGTGAATTTCGTTAAAGAATCAATCTCTTTAGAATACGAAATGCACACAAAATTGATATTGCTATGTTTGCTGGCAGGATACTGTCTGAGAAGGTAACGGTGGCGGCAAGGGTGCGTTTTCCTCATGAATCATTATCAGTCTACCATATTTCACCATTCTTCTTTTTTCCTTATGCTGCAATTATATGTATAACGACTTTGGCTTCTGACCATCGTCATTGGAATATTTAAACATTTGGAATTGATGATATACTATACAAATGAAATAGTGCATACTAAACAAAAATATGATTAAAAATCAAAATTTCAGTCATTCCTTTCATACTCTGAATGTAAAAGAATAGATTGGCTTAATTTGAACATTGTAAATCAATTTTTTTCATGTGAATAAAGAAAAACAAAGTAAATATGGGAATATGTATCAAGGTTGTTTATACTCATAGTAGAACATTCGCATGTGTAACAAAAATTCGTATAAGAAGGGAAATATCCTTTTTTTTTTTTATTATTAAATGAGAAAAGTATCCTCTTTTCGTTAATTTGTCTAACATACGAATATCTTATAGTGAGTATATGTTGAGGTACTCAATATTCATACATAAGTGGATTCATGTACACAGATAATAAAAATAAATTAAACTAGGATAAATTAAAATATGAAAACTAAAAAATGAATTCAGGCAGTGAATAAAACACAATGCAAGTTCATTGTCTGGAGTAATAAATAAATGATGATACTGATAAAAGGTTTTTATATCGATTCCATGGGAAATCCTCTTGGAATATTAATAAACTTGTTTCTAACCTGAGATTTAAGACCAATCCAACTGCTATTACTGCTTCCACTATCACTTTCGCTAGAAGTTATTCCATCCTCGAGCATCAGTTTTGTCCCAAAGCCTTCAAGTTCCAAATCAAAATAAAGTTGACCTAACTGTTCGTTCACTAAAAGTGGTTGACTAATTTTCTTTAAACTATCCATGTCAGATTCGAGTACTTCGTTTAAGGTCTTTGGACGAAGTTGATACTCATATATCAACTCTGGTGTTAACTGGACTCCTTCTAACCAAGGTGGATCTCTTCTGTGTATTGCATGTTTTACCTTTGCTGCTTGTTGCAAGTTCTATATATACACATATATAAAAATACAAATGTTTTGTTAATATATTTTAACTTTTTTTTGCTGTACACACATATATATATATATATAGATTCATTTACCTCTGCAACTTGATCGGTTGTCTTTTGATCAGGATTACAGTTACTTTCACTACTTTTATACAAGAAACTACTATAGAAACTCGAAGAACTAGACTCATTACTGTTGTAATCAATATTCTTATGTTGTTTGTTATTTATTGGCGTTGATACGTCTACAACACTGGAACAACCACCATCGTTACTGATACAAGAAGAAAAAAGCTCACCCGGTGATAACACCTATAATATGAATAAAATAAAAAGTAAATTCATTAAACAAATAACTGGATAAATATGTTAGAAGAATAGAAAGGCATACCTTTTTCGATGACTCGGACATAGTCATAATGCTACCTGGTTCAGCCTTGATGCTTGTTGCTTGACTAGCTGGTCTCTTTCTATCCGTACATTTATTATTCATAGATTTAGCATTTTCTTGTGGCATAGAAGTTTGCTCGGGTATTAAAAAAGGTTGATACATCATTGTTCCAGGAGTTGAAGTACCAATTATTGGGGGATACATAACACCGGGCATTGCTGTTGCAACATACGATACTGGAACAAACACTATATTCCTCTTATAAGTTCTCAATGTTTCCGATTTTTCATAAGTTGCAAAAGAAATATAAATATACCAATACATGAATTATTAATTAATTGATACATACTATATGGGCTTTGTTGCGGCATTGGCATTGATGAAGGAATAACGTTTGTCGGTGGTTGAGAATATTTTGCTGTTGGTATAGGAACATCGATTGGTTGTGGAACAGGCAAGTAATACGCAGGTATCATTTGTGGAATCATTGGAATCCTTGGAATAGCTTGACAATTCATACTATAAAAAAGTTAGACATATATATAATTAGTATATATACAAGGTGAGTCTCTTAACATGAAGATAAGTCCCATAAGTCTCATATTGCAAATATTTTTGTAGAAATATATTTAAAAAAATTACTTTTGGTTAATACATGGTAGAACAGGAGTTGCTGATGGTACATTTACTGCCAAGGATGGCCACAAATTGATATTTCCATTGGTTTGAAACACCGTAGATGTTTGATCCACGCTCATACTTGCGATAGTAGTAGAAACATTTTTTGGTAATGGACCGGCAGTGCTCGTCCTGGAAACTTCATCTTGTTTCGAAACCTAATATATTTAAAAAAAAAAAAAATAAAAAAGAAATAAAAATAAAAAAATAAAAAATTATACTCGTCAAAAGTAATGACGAACAGAAGAGACAAAAAAAAAAGAAACGCAAAAGATCGTAAAAATAAATCTTACCTTGAAACTATCACCTTCCCAGCTATGACTACCACTTCTTTTGACACCATGACATTGACCAACGTAATGATTATTCTGATCCACGGATATCTTCTCAATTGATGGTTTTATACGCATATCTTTTAACTTATCATTGTTTTTAATAATTGATCGTAATTCTCGATGCTTTTGCATCATCATTTTCTCCATATCCTCATTATGACGATTTAACAGGGATTCGGTTAGAATTGGTTGTTTAAAATTATCCGTCGTAGTGGTAGTGTTGCTATTTGTTGTATTTGAAATATTATCTCTCCTTGAGGAATTAGGTATATTGTTCGAACTGCTGCTAAGATTTTCAGCACTGCCACTTCCGCTAGCACCACTTCCATTTATCGGTGACATACATTTTCTTGCTGAAAAAAGAAAGCAAACTCATCTATTATCATTGAAAACGAATTGCATAATTGCAAAAGAAGAAAGATCAATGACATATTGTAATACGAATCAAGGTTTTGTGGTAATTGATTACCTGCTGAATTAGGACTAATTTTACCACCTTCATCGTTGCTCAAATTTAAAATTTCCTCGTCGCTACCATACATGGTTACAAACGATGGTTTACTCTTAAAAAATCTCTCGATGTTTTCATTGTAGTTAAGCTGATTGTAACTGGGTGGTGTTTCCGTAGACGATTTGCTGTCGTAGTATTCGTGATGAGGCGATATCTCACCAAGCATCACGCTATCGTGCTCCTGTAACAAGGGATTGCGTGATCCCTTCACAAGTATATTGTAGCGACTTAGAAAAAATTGTCACCGAGATTGTCATCATCAGTTTTTGCAATTGTGTTTGCGACAGCACTATACTCGATTCAAAAGGGGTCAGTTTTGTTAGAAATACGAGTGATTTTCTAATACGCGTTAGAACCTGCGCTTTTATCCGCAAACCTGCCTGCCTGCCTTTCCTTTATCCCGGCTGCATATATTGTTAGGGCTTGTACAATTTGTCAATAAAATTGTATTTACAACATGCTTTTAAATATTTTTCTGTTTGACCAAAGTTCAACGATGATCAATAGATATCCAAAAAGAAGAATAATATTTCACAAACTCCTATACCAATTAGCTTCCTTTTCCCGAATTGCATCAACTTTCGGATATAATTACAAAACCCATCACGAGAAATAACTAATATCGTATCTACAACATTATATCAAAAGTACGAACGAATGAGAATGACCACAGAATTGACTTCATTTGATTTCAATATCTAATTAGTTAGTTTCAAAACCTTGTATGTGAGTGAATATATTTATAGCCTTTTAACATTAATCATTTCAATTTCGAATCTCGATCGTATGTCGATCGTGACAAATGAGAATGAATCCGATCTACAAAAAAAGACTAGCCTCCATTTCAACGTCTGTAAAAATTGTTTAAAACAAAACAAAAGGATCAACACACAGCATCGAATCAAGAATATGAACGATTCATTGTACGACAACATAAATTGTATTGATTAATTCAGATCATTTTATACTACTTGTAGTGATTGAAAACTATTGATTTTAAATATGATTCAAGTATCATGCATCTTGTTAGAAGATAGAAATGGTGTGTGAGAAAAAGAAAAGTGGCTATGGAAAATAGAACTGCAAGGATCTTCAATTATAATTAGAAATATCGATCTTCAAATTGGCATCTTTCGTTCTTGATAAGAGGAGGCCAATCCAAATAAGGGGTTCATTATAGAATAATGAGATGTACATTTGTTTTTCTTTGATAATTACTATCGACAAGTTACAAACAAAAAACAAAATAAACGCATCTTCTTACGACTTGCGATCAAGTTCGATTTGTAGAGGCTTTGCACGTTATCCATTGTTATATTATATAAAATATTGAAAATGTATAAACAAAAGTAAAGACTTACCAAAAACATGCCTACAAGATTTTGAAATTGACTCTATCCTTCATCGGCCCTATATAACATTTATTTTTTCTTTTCTTTGCTCACCATCTGTGACTACGTCCAAAATAACTTAGTAGGCTTTGGTTTGTTTTTTTTTCCTTACCACTACACCACATATTACTTGTTACTATAGCAGATGTTTTGTAGAAAAACACTCTATCGCTAATATTGAAAAATTACTTGTGAAAAGCATTTAATTCTTAGGAATTATTCTTGCTTATTTTTTTTATATAAAATAATAATAAAAAAAAAAATACACACCAACTGCAACTAATTTGTAGTTTCCTTACTCACCTTCACCTATTTTTAGTTTGTGAATATTTTTTGTAAAAAAATCTACCATATTCAGTAGCAGGAAGACACTTTTGATCAAAATCAATCTAATTTTGAAATTACTTAAGGGGACCTTCTACTCCGCAATTTAAAAAAATTTTTTTTTTTTTTTTTTACATTTTTCGAATGTATATATATGTAGAAATATTGTGTTAAAATTTCAAAAAGATTCGATGTCTCTAACTAC